TTTGGTCTAGCAAGAGTGGACACCTACAATAGGAGCACATTGCAATATGTCGTAGTATGTGCAGGAAGCTGCAAGCAGGTGGTGTGTTAGAAATATGCCTCTCTTCAGACATGGTGCTATCCAGATGTTTTGGATAATATCCCATCAACTCCATGTTGAGGCTGAAGGGAGTCATACGTCAAAACATCTGGAGAGCACCAGGTTGACGAAGACTAGTCTAGACATATTGGCTGCCTCACTCCTCTACAAATCAGAATAAAAGGAAGATTCTCTGAACCCATCAAGTCCTCTAATCTGCCACAAATTATGTTCAGGATTCTTACTGAGCTGCAATGGCTTGCTTGAACCAGTCCCACTGCTGCAGATCCTATTTTCATAAACTCTGGAAACTAGCTTGCAATCAAATGTAGCTTTTAATTTAGACTGGAAGCCATATAAGCCATGAAAGATGTGGCTAGGGATGGATAAATCTGTCCATTTCAGTTGCTCTCAGTTTTTCAATCTTAAATACTGTTCTCCACATTTCCAGGTCAATTTGTGATTATTTTTTAAATCGTCATTAAAAAAAAAGTGAATTTATCCAAAAGTTCATATTTTTGTCTAATATACACGTTTTTGCAAGCAATCTCCTCTAATGTGGTGCTTTTTTGTATGTGATTTTCACTAATTCATGAATTTTTATGGAAACAATTTACATAATATAAGCATTTTTGTATACATTGCTTGGTTGGAAAACTGCGACACAAAATTTAGAGCAGTGCAAATCTGAAAGGATAGCTATGTTTTGGTTTGCACAAAGTGAGAATTAGGTGGTTTTTTATTAAAATGCATAGATAGTTAGATAGATATAGATAGATAGATGATAGATAGATAATAGATATATCTCTTCCCCAACCCTCAATGTGGCATTGCTACTTAGTGATGTCTGTTTTCAGAGATACAAGTCCAGATACAGAGATGACACTAACCATACCATGAAAATTACAAACAGTTGGTTTTTGCTAGGTCATTGCAAAAAATAAAAATCACCCCAAGACAAAGAGGTAAATGAAAAATATATACAGTATGGGCTTGGGAAATGTAAGAACCAGCAGCAAAACAAGCCTGACTCCAGTAACATGTTAGTGTCATAAAATAAAAAATAAGTCAAAACATAATAATTATTAGAGTAGACTTAGCAGACGGCCCATTTTCATTTGTAGATGTAGGTCTTTGTTTCACCCTCTTGGAACATCTCCCAAAACTGCAAAGTGTTCATGTGACACGCAACCAGCTGGAGAGCTCTCACTCCTCTTCTCTTTCCTGAGCACTAACCACTAATTTGAAAGAAGCCTGTGGGAGAGAATATCTCTGGCATCTTGCTTTGTCTGCAGAGAAAGAACAACAATAAGCTGCTCTGGAGCTATGTGTTGTTTTTGCTTTTCTTGAACATTTTAGAATAAGGTTTGCTCAACCCTTTCATTTCCACTTGGAGAAGAATTTTATTTACTCTGTCGAGAGCTGCTTAGTATTCAATAGCACAACCATTTTTGACCAGTTTCCTAACAATCACTTTTAAATAGCCATTTTACTTAACTTTACTTAATAGTTTGTAGGAAAGTGCTGTTTGGTTTCCACTTACTAAAGGAGGGTGCAAGACCTAGGGGACTACAAAAAACCCCACAGTTGTGGAGAGCCAGTGTGGTGTAGTGGTTAAGAGTGGTAGACTCGTAATCTGGTGAACCGGGTTCGCGTCTCCGCTCCTCCACATGCAGCTGCTGGGTGACCTTGGGCTAGTCACACTTCTCTGAAGTCTCTCAGCCCCACTCACCTCACAGAGTGTTTGTTGTGGGGGAGGAAGGGAAAGGAGATTGTTAGCCGCTTTGAGACTCCTTCGGGTAGTTGATAAAGCGGGATATCAAATCCAAACTCTTCTTCTTTATGCATTCCACGACCAGACTTAAGGGAGCAATTCTTACTCTCTACCCCTCAGCCTTTAAGAGTGATGGAGCCATTACATCCACAGCCCTGCCACACATGGCTGCAAGGGTAAAAGGCAATGCAGCAACTGGGCATTCAGTGAGAGCCCTGTTCTTAACATAGAGCAGTAGTTGAATCCAGCAGTTGGCTTAGCAGTGGGGGACTTTGGGCTCTCAAATTTCAGTGGATCCCTGTGCAATGCTAAAATCCAGTGGCCTGCCTCCCCGCCCCGTACTTCTTGCACTGCATTCTACAGCACTGTTGTGGTGCCCCCTGCAGTGGCCGAACCAGTCAGTCTACCATAAAACCACCTCTGGGCTTAGGGCACTGTAGGTATTGTGTCACGTTTTGTCCTGTTACACTGCTACTGCTTGTGCAAGAAAATGAGCTTGCACAACAATGCTAACTCTCCTGCTTCTTATGCTAACGTTATGTTGGATCTGGACCATATATCCCAGAGGGAAGTCTTTATATCTGGATAATTTTAACCTGACATCTGATAGTCTACCTCTTTAGAACTACGAGCTGTCTGGTAAAAATTTGGTACAGTAGTACCTTGGTTTCAGAACAGCTTAGTTTATGAACAACCTGGATTAAGAACGCTGCAAACCTGGAAGTAGGTGTTTTGGTTTGTGAACTTTGCCTTGGAAGCAGAACATGTTCCACTTCCTGTTGAGTGTGTTCCATTTGTAAAATGAGTCCCCCGCTGCTATGGGAAAGCACGCCTTGGTTTAAGAATGGACTTCTGGAACGGATTAAATTCGTAAACCAAGGTACCACTGTAATTTACTGTTTTATTGTATTGCACTTCGGAGAGTAATAGCAAATGGCATATTTCAAAGTTGCAGCAGGACTGTAACATTTAGGATGCAATCCTATACACCCTTATCTGGGAATAAGCCTGTAGGGGAAGACATGATGGCCTCTGGCTGGTTGCATTACTGCTGCTTACTGGGCAGTAGAGGAGGAAGGGCAAGGCAGTATCAAGGTTGGTAGGGTGCAAATGTGTTGGCAGGGAGAGCACATTGGCTCCGCTAGTTTGTTTGTTTGTTTGCACTGCACTGACTTGGCTGCCAACTTGCCCCTCCCCTTCTACCTCCCAGGTAAAAAGCAGCAACACAACCGACAGGTCAAGCGACTGGCAGCACCCCAGCATGCTGTCTAATGCTGGTATAAACCCCATTAACCTCAATGGGGCATATATTTGAGGGGAAAACAGTGGAGTCTAAAGCTTGGGGCCTCATAGATCAATGAGAGGGAGCACATCAATGTTGGCAAATAATAACTCCAATTCACAAAAGAATATTCAGCCCCAGGTGTCTTAGATTTTTAACAAATATTCAATGGTTAGGATACTCACTTAGAATAATTTGATCGGTTAAAAATTAATCAAGAAACTTGTTTGATTTTTTAAAAATGCTAACAGTTTTTAAAATAATAATAAATATGGGTACTTAGAAAAACTTTGGTGGCAAGTAACTGCTTATAACAAGCATTCCTCCATCTTTCATAAAGACAGCAGCAAATGCTTCTTCTCAGATGGTGCTTGCTGTAACACATGCATGCAGTCTCAAAAAGGGAAATAAATATACTTTCCCCCTTGAGCATTATCATTAACTGATTCATACGTATTAGGCTGTAATGATAAGGAAATAATAGCATAACACAATAAAAGCATAATAATCACCGTGGTTTTTTTTTAAAAACTATTATTTAATTTGCATACAGATTTCTGAAGGTTTGGTCAATTAATTAATATTTCTTTTGCCCTGTTTAAAAGACATCTCATGATTGCCACATAGTGCCTCCACCAAACTGGTTTTCATAGGTGCCAAATATTTAAAGCTGTTTTCAGAATTGGTTGGGATCTGTAGGAGCTCAGCATCTGTGAAAAGCACCCTGCAGATGAAAAGGAGCCATCAAAAACTCCTGACTTTAGAACACCCAGCAACGGCATACCATCAACAAACAACAACACAAGTCTGAGCTTTATCAGCCCTCAGGATCTGAAGCACTGAACTTGAAAGAGAAAGCAACACTGGGGATTTTTAAAAAATCCCAAGAAACCTATTTACTTCCAAGAAGTGATTATAAAACTACATGTATAAAAAGTTGTTTGTTTGGTTTTTTTAAAGTGAACAGTAGGAAAGGATGGAAAACAGAAACTATAACTGCGCTCCACCTCAGATTGGATCAAGTTAAGACCAAACTGAACATGACTATAAGTGCAAGTTGGCACTGAATGTTGTTGGCAGCTGCTATTCGCATTTTGAAAAAGTGCACAGCCAGTGCAAAGATACATTTAATGCCCAGTCTGGTCATTAACTGACATCATAGGTTTGCTATGAGACTAAGCTGTGAGAAGGTGATTTGCTCTCCCTGTGTGTTGCATAGATAAGCAGGGGTCTAAACCTGGGCTTCCCACACTCATAATTATCTCAGCTGATTCATGCTCTACACAGAAAACACATTTGCTGTATGAAATGATATTTTTTGCAGTTGCAAAGTTGGGTTGCCATATGTCCTGTTTTTCTAGGACATGTCCTCTTTTTCATGGGAATGTAAAATGAGAGTTGTCATAGCGATCCATAGTTAAAAGCAGAAACTGGCAAATGTGTCCTCCTTTTTGTACATCAAAATATGACAGACATATGGGTACAAATAGTGGGGTCATACAATTGGTCATTGCTTGTATGTAAATTCCACTATATGGTTACAGAGATGCCACTTCCAGTTATACGGGTACTTTAAAGGAGATGAAGGTGTTTAGCCACGGCATTATGTGATAAAAAGGAAGCAGATGCATTTGCTCCATGAACTGTGAATCAATGCTAAAGAGCTGTTGCTGGAATGCAGAACCAGCTGTGTTTACAAACCGGTGACAGAATCAGGCACGACATTCTCATTCTAGCCACAGGTCATTCTTCTCTTTTTGGCCTGCTGGGATCCAGAGCTTTATTCTTCCTCTGCTCTTCCTACATAATTTACGAATTCAGTGTTGATAGTAGAGAGAGTCTGGGAGGCCTGTTATGTATGATTTATTATGAGTGCAATGTTGATTGAAGACTCCGATCCCACAATCTCATCAAGAGGCACATTTTTGTCTGGAACGGAATTGCTGAGATCAGTGAAAATGTGTGAGTTAAGACAAAATACTTTTCTGCCATGCATTTGTAAACCACCATAGTTTTCTAGCACAAATACAGGATCACAGAGTTGGAAAGGAATCTGCATATCATCTAAGAAGCCACTTTCTTTCTCATTAGGAGAGAGGAGGAGAAGTGCATGTCGGGAGGAAATGAATTCCACACTGAGGAGGGCACACAGCAAAGGTCCAATCCCTCAGTGAAATATGACACAGCCCTAGGATATCCCAGCAGCAGTTCTGCCTTTGATATGTATGTTCATTCTTCATAACTGCAGCCAGGGGTGGTTGAACTGAGTACTCACCTGGGTTAATGTGCTGTCTGCAGTGAGCTAGGGTAGCAAAAAGCATCTGTAACATTTTAAAAAAGGTTTTTAAAGTTGTTAGGGTAGGGACACAGGTGGCGCTGTAGGTTAAACCACAGAGCCTAGGACTTGCCAATCAGAAGGTCTGCAGTTCGAATCCCCACGACGGGGTGAGCTCCCATTGCTTGGTCCCTGCTCCTGCCAACCTAGCAGTTCGAAAGAACGTCAAAGTGCAAGTAGATAAATAGGTACTGCTCTGGTGGGAAGGTAAACGGCATTTCCGTGTGCTGCTCTGGTTTACCAGAAGCGGCTTAGTCATGCAGGCCACATGACCTGAAAGCTGTACACCGGCTCCCTCAGCCAATAAAGCGAGATGAGTGCCACAACCCCAGAGTCGGTCAGACCTAATGGTCAGGGGTCCCTTTATCTAAAGTTGTTGGGGTACTAGCTACGGAAACGACCTTCCTTCAAGTAGCTCTAAATTATATTTCTTTTCAATTTCAATTTCGATGTCGTCTGTGCTAGGTAAAAATCAGTGGAATGAAGCTTTACTTTGAGGCAATGTTACCAAGAACGTAGCACTTCAAATAACATAAACACTATGTAAATGATAATAAAATAATGATGATAAAAAGCAAAGTCATAAGCTGTAAAAGGTAAGCTGGATACCATTTATACTTATATTCATTTTTAATTAAATTTATATTATGCCCTTCATCCAAAGATCACAGGGCAGTTTACAATATAAAAACAGAAAAATGCATACCATAATAACAAACCAAAACAATACCCACACACCCCAGTTTAAAAGGCCTGGAATGTTTCATTAGCCAAAGGCCTGGCTGAAGAGGAACGTTTTTGCCTGGTGCCTAAATATATTGTTACAAAAGCCCAGTGCCTATCCCTGTCTCTGCCAAGCCGTTGGAAGAGCGCATGGGATCTCAGGTGCCTCAAATAATGTTCGCAAGGTCCAGGCCAGTTCATATGGGGAGAGTCGGTGCTTGAGGTATTGTGATCCTGAGCCATTTAAGGCAGGGGTTAGCAAACTTTTTCAGCAGGGGGCCGGTCCACTGTCCTTCAGACCTTGTGGGGGACCAGACTATATATTTTTTGTGGGGGGGAGGGGGATGAACGAATTCCTATGCCCCACAAATAACCCAGAGATGCATTTTAAATAAAAGGATACGTTCTACTCATGTAAAAACACACTGATTCCCGGACCATCCGCGGGCCGCCTTTAGAAGGTGATTGGGCCGGATCCGGCCCTCGGGCCTTAGTTTGCCTACCCATGATTTAAGGCTTTATAGGTCAAAACCAACACTTTCTGCCTGGAAACTGAGTTTTCATTATTATTTTTAAAGATTTTAAAACGTGACTTGCAGTGGGTAGGAAACATTCTAATCACCTGAGCTTGCACGAAAGGTTTGAGAATGTCTGGATCTGAACCTGGTCTAAATGTTGAGTGTAGAATCATAGAGTTAGAAAGGACCTCAGATTTAATCTACTCCGACGTTTCCTGACAATCCAGGAAACTCACTTATACAGCTTCTATGACCATCTAGCCTCTGCTTAAAATTCACTAATGAAGGAGAAACTGAGGCTGCCTGTTCTTCTTAATTGCTTCTTCTCTGAGCTAAATAAGTTCCTTCAACCTTCCCTCATAAGAGTAGTTGGTCTCCAAGCCCCTCACCATCTTTATCACCCTCCTCTGGACCTGTTCCATTTTCCTGATATCCTTCTTAAATCAAGTGATGTACATGGATATGTGAATCAGGCTTAATGGTCTTTCAGAAGAAAATCTCCTTTAGACATATGGGCATCAAACTGGAGGATCAGCTTAATTTTTATTTTTATACGTTTAAGTGTAGCAGTTAAGAGTTGGGATGTTAAGATTATAATATTATTGGCTTCAATGCATGCCAAATACATTACTAATCATGAGAGGATTACTGGTGGGAGGTTTTGAATTTGCATTTTGATCTTAATGGGCAAAGAAAATACACCAGACGTGAATTTCAGTAAGATGCTTTTAGTAACCAAAATAATAAACTCTGCTGCTATTTGCTGCTTTTGTTCTGCCTGTTAAGCATCTTCTGTAGTGGTAGGGGAGGGAAAATACATCAGGATACCTTAGAATCAAGGTCCTCTCAGAAGGTCACCTGCTCCTGACTTAACTAACAAACATGATTCAAAGCTTCCTGAATTTCCACAGCCTGTGCCCTTTGGCAGAACAAGAGCAGGCTGCTGCCAATGCAGGTCAGTGCCAAGCATGTTAATGAAGCATCTTGGCATTTTAGTTTATTTTATTTTTTGTTCGACAGGCAAAAAGATCAAATCAGAGGAAAGCTGTTTTCCAAAATTAACAGTGGTGGTGGACCCCACAAATGGAGATTATGGTGGGAAAGAGGCCCTGCTTCCTGTTCCCTTAGTAGCTGTGCAGAAAAGGGAGTTGCAGCATGTGTATCTCGCTCATTGGTGTCTGTGCTCAGAATCCACAAGAACTGTCAAGCAACAGATTCAATGCACCTAAAACATAACTTCTTTGGACTCCAGCACAATGTTCCTGGAAGGATTTTCTCTGACAACCAAGAACTTGCTTCAATATGGTTGCAGTATGATTACATTTTGCTAAAGGGGGGCCCCTGGGAGTGGGTTGGTGCAGGGTTACCAAAGAATGATGTCAAAAATGCTAGAGTGATCAATTCTAGTGCTTTATCATAACCTGCGCTGCCATTACAGATTCAGGTCGGACACTGAAACAGCAAGCCGCTGTCATGACTCGTCTGTGCCTGAGCAAATGTTTATACATTACTTATCCAAAAAATTTTTTTAAAGCATATGTCAGTTTGGTCACAACCTCCTATTAGTCCACCTGCATAGGTGGCAGATTCAGGTAGGTAGCCGTGTTGGTCTGATGCAATCGAAATAAATTTAAAAAATAAAAAATTGTCCAGTAGCACCTTAGAGACCAACTAAATTTGTTCTGGGTATAATCTTTCATGTGCATGCACCCTTCTTCAGATACACTGAAACAGAAGTCACCAGACCCTTATATATAGTGGGAGGGTGGGGTGGGGTTTTTCTCAGAAGAGTAGTAGAAGATGGATGATTGACTCAATTGGTTTGGTAAACCTGTTGACGACTGTTAATGACTGCAATTAGTCCTATAGGAAAAAGCAAGGGATAGTATGCAGATTACCAAAAATAGCTTTAGCATATGTAATGAGACAAGAATCCAATATCTCTGTACAGACCAAGTCTCTCCATAGTTTTCAGTTTAGTAATAAGTTGTAATTCAGCAACTTAGTTTGCATAGGTGGCAAACATCCAATTTTTATGGTCAGAGCCCAGCATCCCAGGCCAACAGATATGCACAGCACCAAAGCAAACCAATTAGCACATATCAAAGCAAGTGGATAAACATATATGAGCTCATTCTTGCCTCAACTACCAATTGGTCCCGGGGTAACCTTGACGACCAAGATGGAGTTTACAGGCCTTCTGGAACATCTTCACAAGTTTACATTGCATAAGCCTGCCTTCTTATACAGCAAACATCTCTCAGTCAACAAATATTTACACTTAATTAATTTCCTATTGTCCCTTTAATGTGAACACATTGGAAGATAGTAAAGTTGTCCACTGTAGGAAAATGTCAGAAACAGAGAGACCTCTTCCTTGTTTTTAAAAAAGCTTGTTTCTGAGTGTTTTCACACTTCATAAATATTGGATTTATGCCAAATTCTGGGTGTGCTCATGTAGCTTTGACCTTGCCTCCACCCTGCCCATTTAGGAAAATGGCAGCAATGCCACTGCCAGGAGTGTATACCATCCTCAAGATACAGGGAGGAATTCAGCATCACACCAAGGCAATCATTCCACCCAACATCGCTCAGCCTGGACACTGAGGTTCTCCTCCGAGGGTCTTCTGGTATTTCCCTCACTGCGATAAGCAATGTTACAGGGAACCAGGCAGAGGACCTTCTCAGTAGTGGCGCCCTCTGTTCAGATGTCAAGGAGATTAAGAATAACACAACTTTTAGAAGACATCTGAAAGCAGCTGTGTATCAGGAGGTTTTTAATACTGGATGCTTTTATTGTGTTTTTAGATATGCTGTAAGCCACCCAGATGGGCTGGGTAAAAATAAATTATTATTATTATTATTATTATTCCATCACAGCAAGCAAGTTCAGATCCCACTTTGATGCATTTCTGAAGCATCAAGAGCAAGATTCTCACCCAAGGTTAGAAACCTGCCAAATTAAAATTAGGTTCAGGGGTTGGTGTTGTGTCTGTGTGTCTGTGTGCTACACACTTTTAAGTTAATTAGGTGTGTGTGTGAAAAACTAAAAGGGGTTTCCTTCCCTCCCTGTGTTTTTTGGCGCAACTATTTTATTATTAAAATGACATATATCATAGAGGTGCCCTGAGAAAGGTAACCTGCACAGTTTCAGAAGGTTAGGTGTGGGAGCTAGGGAATTGTGATGGATGGGGGAGGAGAACCACTTTAAGCTTGTGTTCCGTTCAATTGGTGCCAAAGGTCGTAGCAACTAATAAGTGGAAAGCTGATTTGACAGGAGTGTTTTGACATGCAGCGCAGACAAAAAAAGGACTTGAAGATACAGCATCCCAAGCAAGCATCACTAGCAGAACTAGCAAAGAGCACAGGATAGACAAGAGAAAGGTGATACTCTAGCACTCTGTGACTAGAGAGCCTTGGCACAATAATGCCCTCTTATTCACAGCTAGACCTGTCTGCTGCAGAAATCTTCTCTTTATACCTACCCTGGCACTTTCTTTATATGACAAGCTTGGGGAGAAATGTTTCAGTTTTTGAAGTCACACTGCCTTTAGGTGTGGGTGGGTGTGGGTGTTAATCTGGATATCTGAAGTACCACCAAGTGAACTTTGGTACAGGCAGCATTGGAGAGATCCTGTTTTGGCTTTGATATGCCCCATGTCTGTTTGAACTGGCTGTGCTCCTGTTCTAGGTTTAGGATTCATCTAGCACACCTCTAGCATCTTTCTATTTATCCTTCTTCTGAGAACAGTGTGGCATCTATGGCCCTCCAAATGTTGTTGGGCTGCAACTCCCATCGTTTCTATTTGCCATACTGGCTCGGGCTGATGGGAGTTGGGAGTCCAAATCTTCTGGAGGGATGCAGGATCTCCCTTTTGTTCTAAAGGTTCATAATGGCTGAAGCATTATCACTTTTTATTTGAGATCTTGAGAAACATCTTTCCCTTAACCTCAAGCAAGTGAAAAGGTGCATTTTACAGGGGAAGCAGGAGGGTCCTGGGTGTAGAACAGTGTTTCCCAAGCTTGGGTCTCCAGCTGTTTTCTGACTACAATTCCCATCATCCCTGCTAGCTAGGGATGATGGAGGTTGTAGTCCAAAAACAGCTGGAGACCCAAGCTTGGGAAACACTGGTGTAGTCTTATGACAGGAGAAAAGAATGGCAGAGAGGAGCATGCCATTCCTATTAAAGTGCCAGGGGACAGCAAGGAGCGTTCTTTTGAACAAATGGTTGGGAAGGTTCACATTATATATATATTTGAATGAAACTCATACATAGTTGCTTTAGTTTAGCCATGTCTGAAGTCAGAGCAATAGCAGCAAGCCAGTACTGCTGGGTTATTCAATTAGCCCCACGCTCACAAATATTATGACTCACATTGGCACAAAAATGATTATTGCCAGTAATCAATACTATTTATTACTTTAAAGCCTCTATCCATAAAAAATGGGAATTCAACTGATTCTCAGTAAATAGTGTTGGATTAAACTGTTGACAAAATTATTTAATAATACTTTTCAAATCTAGAACTTGGCAATAAACTATCAAAACACATGCTTTGCATGCCCGAGGTACAAGGTTCAATAACCATCAATTCCTGAGAAAGGCTCTTGGGTAGAAGGTTGTGCCGGGGGGGGGGGGCTTCCTGGTATCTTGGAGTGATAACAGGAAATACTCATCCAGGTGAACGAATTGAAAATGGATGGGGAGTCTATGACCCACCAGATACTGCTGGATTACAACTCGTATAATCCCAGACCATAGACTATGTCATCTGAAATTATGCCTCTGAGTTACAGTTGCTGGGAAGCACCAGTGAACAGACTGCAGCTGCGCTCATGTCCAGCTTGCAGGCTTCCTAAAGGCATCTGGTTAGCCAGAGAATGGGATGCTGAACTGATGGGCCATTGGCCTGATGCAGCAGGCTTGTCATATGTCCTTATTTATTTAAAAGCATTTATAAACCATTAATAATTTAAAATCTCTAAGAGTTGGAATCCAACAACATCTGGAGAGCCAAAAGCTCTCTGTCCCTTTAGCAGAAATAACTTTTATATTATGTATAGTATTGTGGCATGCCTCAGCAAAGAAACCACATATGGCTCACTTATCTAAAGAACTGGAGGTGTTGGGCTTGAAGCTTGCAATCCTGTGCACATTTACTTGGAATAGGTCCCATTGAACTCAGTGAGACCTCTCTGAAAAGATCAGGCTGCAATTCTAAATATAAATATTTTATAAGAAGCCTGTCTTGGAAATAAGTAGTATTGGTTTCAATAGGATGTTCATAGCAGTTTGCTTTGGACTGTGTTGCTGTAGCCTGTATGTTAATTGGGAATCAGGAGTGTTGGATATGAAACTCCTTGACTTTTGCATTAACTATTTTGTATTTCACATGTAAAAAATACATTGGGCATAGTATATTTTCTGTTTTAAAGTAGCTTCCTTTGTCCTGTCCTACATTAATAGCATGCACAGTGCAGACTAAAAGGAATATACTTAGTCCATTGTCTTTACTCTGCATATGTACTGCTGAACGTAGGTAAGATGACATAATGCATCTTCTGACACCGGTCTAAGCACATCTAAATTGCCATTTTTGTCATGCCAGTCATACTATCTGCCTCTAGGTTGACTCATTTATTTGGTGAAAAAATGTTTGCTTCCTGGGGAAAACACTGACAAGCCAAAGTGAATGAAGGTGAATGTATTGTAGAACAGGTAGTATAGTCATAAAGATGAACATGAACAATGCCATTTTCAAAGAAATGTCTCCTTAAAGATCCTGAAGGAGGATAGCCAGATGATTCTGGGCTCCAGAGAAAATATTGATATGTAGCGTATTGAATAGTTCTTCTGCTGTTTCTTTGAAATACTTATTTTGCAACCATCAGAATAAAACACTAGGTAGAGATCCATCCAGGTCTAAGAATACCAATTTAGATCTGTGTCATCCCCACCATGTTTATTAACAAGACCGATAACTACAGATTGATCCGCCTTCTATTATCTCTGTTTTTACAAGCAAGATGATTGAGACATTACCCCATGCCTCATACGTACTTACATGCTACAAGAAACCTCTAACAATCAAATAAAATAGACCTATCATTAGAGGTTTTTAAACAGAAGCTGAGTGGCTACCTGCCATGGATGCTGGAGCAGATTTCCTGCATTGGCAAGGGGGTTGGAGTAGATGGCCTTTCAGACCCCCCTGCCAACTCTATGTTTATAGGATCCTTTTAATTTTCCTTCTGAACTAGGCATTTTTGTTGCCCATCAGTTAATCCAGCCCTGCAAGCAGATCACAGTTAATGTGTTCTACAACTTCATCCCCTTGAAATCAGGTAGATGAATCTTTCCAGAGTTAAAATGTAGAACTCTATCCTGCATGATGATGACAAGTTTTGTTGTTTTTCTCCATGTCAGAGGAACAAGACGAGCAGAATATGACGGAGATGTGAGCTGAACCAGTGTCTCACTTCACTGCGCCAATTAGCTGTATATACCTCTGTTCATAAGAATGCTGAGCCAGGAGAAACTATACACTGCCGGTGGAAATAACTTACACTTTAGTAGAGGACTCACACAGCCAGGAAAAAAGAAGGGATGGCGCCACATGACGTATCTCATTACAAGTAAAAATAAAAATAAAAATTATCCTCTTTGCCTTCCTGATCTCTTGGTACACACAAGTACCTTGTTGCTAAGCTAGATCAGCTAGGCTCCTTTATATCACACCTCCCATTTGAGGGCCAAACTACATGTTATGTTAAATATACGATCATGTTCAATGTAACTGTTTGTCTTATGGGTTTGGCTGGTGTCATAGTATGGGAGGGGGATCGGGATGGTGGTGTATGGAGAGAGGGGTATTATTCTGTTCTGCTGGGACATGAGGCCTACAGGGAAAGTGGGAATGAGTATTGGAGGCTCCAATGGGTCAGGCCAGGAATATCAGGACCTTGGACAACTCCCAGTGGGCCCTACTAGACAAGTTTGTTGTTTCAGCAAAGATTTACAGGCAAAACCCAAAATAGATATACAGTGGTACCTCAGGTTAAGAACCTAATTTGTTCTAGAGGTCTGTTCTTAACCTGAAACTGATCTTAACCTGAGGTGCCACTTTAGCTAATGGGGCCTCCCGCTGCCACTGCGCCGCCGCCATGCAACTTCTGTTCTCATTCTGAAGCAAAGTTCTTAACCCGAGGTACTATTTCTGGGTTAGCGGAGTCTGTAAGCTGGAGCGTCTGTAACCAAAGGTACCACTGTACATTAAATGCAATTGCACATTTAATGTAACATGCAGTCTGGCCACTAGATGCGATACATGCATGAATCTTGTCTCATTTTCCTAGTGCTAAGGTCATGTTTGGATGGATTTTGTTTGCCATTTGCTGGACAGTTAAAAAAAAACAGAAGTCCTCCGTTAATAAGGAGCTGTCAGATGAATATATATTTTGTTCCTCTGTAATGCATCACCAATAAACATGGTGCATTATAGAGGAACAAAAGCAAAAGAAGCAGACGAGGACTCAAATGCCTTTCATAATTTTGCAGAGGGAAGAAATTGGGTGAGTGCTGCCCCCCCATGTTGTTTTGGCAACCAAGTATCAGGAACGAAGAGGCACAACCCTGTCTCAAACGCAGCCCCATCTCCACTGAGATGCTTGCCTCTGCTTCAGACCAAGTTCCAGGCTGCTGCTGAAACTGAATTCGAGAGGCTGCTGTATTTGATGGCTATCAGAGACAAACGGGCTGCAGAATGACACTTTAGGGTCATTCTCACTTTCCTCCATGAGCAGCATATCAAGAAGTTGTTATATAGGCTTTCTTGCTTTCACCAGCTTTTTAATCTTTCTGGTGTTATTGATCCCAAAGCAGCAAGGGATGTAAATCACACAGGACCCTGGAGACTGCACCGTTATCAGGAAAACAGAATGCTTATGAGAGACAAGCCATGTTAAAAGATACTACCTGGATTAGCTGCACTTGTTTTGCAAGGGTGTCCACTTCACACACCCCATTTTTGGTGTAAGCCTGTAATGTTCCAAATGTACACCTACAATGCTTAAAACAGTATGCATTGCTATGGCAAATGTATACCATGCAGGTAACACACTAGAAGTCAGGGATCCACCATTGCCTGCAGCTCCCTTTCGAGTAAACATTTTGCAGCAAATATTTGGAATGGCTCTTTGCATACAAGCTTGTGAACTGGGACTTAAAATGGCCATACCTGCATGGGTGCAGACTTCAGGCTTGTCTGATCTTCTTTGCTTTTTCTAGAACCCCAAGCTCATTCAACCACAGACATAGTTTTAAAACAAAACAGGATGCCTCTGAATGCATTCTGAATATATAACACCCTCCCCGCAATATTATAACTGTACTGAGTTCACAGAGTTGTATCCAGTTGCTCCAGCTGAAGTGACTATTAATGGAAGAGGAAGGAGGGAATGTTTGCTCTGCCCACCCGCACCCCCGCACTGCTGTGTCCCAATCTGTTCTGGATGGCTGGGACTCCCCGGAATAGATGGTGTGGGCATTACGGGAGGGAAGAGTGAATTTGCACCCTCCCCTCCTATTCTTTTGGAAGGTACCTCGGGGGGGGGGGGGAGTTGAAGGAGAACCATTTGGTTTCCACTTACAGTCCTTTCACACAAGAGGTAACATAGGAAGTTGCCTTATACTGAGTCACACCATTGCTCCATCTAGCCTAGCATTGCCCAAACTGACTGGCAGTGGTTCTCCAGGATTTAAGGCAGGAAGATCACTCAACCCTAACTGGAGATGCCAGGGATTGAAGGTTCTGCATGCAAACATGTGCTCTGCACCACCAGCCTACAGCCCTTCTCCTATCCAGCTTTCTTCATTTCAGCATCTTACTTTAGGTGGGAAAAGCCATTTTGTTGTAAAACAGCTGGGATTCAATTTACTGCAAATCGCTCAGAATTCTACCAGTAGGTTCCAATCCGTCTTTTGCCTACGCCTGCTGTAAGGCATCCCTCTTGAAATTATCCACGGCTAGGGCTGCCATATTTCAAAAAGTAAAAACCAGAACACCCCGAAAGTTGATGAAGACCCCAAAATTGTAGACCACCTGCTTTGCATGCCAAATGTCTCGGCTTCAATCCTCAGCATCTCCAGTTAGGGCTGGGAAAAGATCCCTGGCTGAAACCCTGGAGAGCTCCTCCCAGCCAGTGAATACTGAGCTAGATGGACTGTTGGTCTGATGCAGTAGAAGTCCGCTTTCTATGTTCCTAGTTGTGAATATAGCACCACCATGTTCTTGAGCAGCTCACACTAATTTTAGTGGAGACTGGGCAGGAGAACACCACAAAACATTCTGGGTCAGATTTGCCTATATCGAGTTCATTCTGCCTCCTTTAATGGCACAATTGGGAGGTTGAGGCAGCTGCCTCACCTTGCCTCTTGATGGGGCTTCTGCTTTTGGCTTTGCCGTCATTATTTGTCATGTAATAGAAGAAGCAGTAGAAAGATCCCAAGGTCAAAGGAAGGAGCTTTCAGCTCCCATTTGGATTTTCACAAAAACTGGCTGATTGAGTAAGCATTCCTGGGCTGATTTCAATTGACCCTCATTTTGAAGATCATTCTCATTCTCCCTCTTTCTCTAGAGGCATGGAGTGGTGGGGGCAGAGGGGACAGGAATATAGGAAACTGCCATTGACCTTTCAATAGCCCAGTATTGTCTACACAGACTGGTAGTCCAGGGTTTCAGACAGGAGCCCTACCTTACCTGGAGGTGCCAGGTATTGAACCTGGGCCATTTTGCATGCAATAAAGGTGTTTTGCCACCTTGGATCCTCTTTGCTATGACAAAAGGCTGAATCACCAAGCAGGTTGGCCCAAGACATTTTGCTGCTTGCAGCAGGACAGCAAATCTCCTCTCTCTGCACCTCCGAGACAAGATGCACAATACCCAAGGCCAGCCAAGTCAATTTGGCACCTGAGGCCGAAAATCCCACAAGCACCTCTCCGCTCCTGGGTTGTAAAAAACACAATTACAGCTAACTAAATGACTAACCACTTGGTGCCCTTTCCTGACACCCAAAATGCGGCTACCTCACTCAGGGACGCCACTACTTATGAAGGAGCTGGATCCGTAATATTTCCCTTATTCCTCCCCCCCTTTTTTCCCCTTCCAAAATCATCCTCATCACCAATAACAAATGTTAAGGACTGACTGCTATTGCTGCGCGAGCTAATTCTCCTACCCCTTTGGAAATAATCGCATAAACCCCCCTTTCTCTCTTCAAGAATATACAACCCGCTCCACGCTGAGATCAAATAGAAACTAATCTGAGAAGTGTGTTTCGAGCCTTCGCAGAGGGCGCCTGCCTCCCAGCCGCTGCCTTTCTTCCCAAGCCAGGAGGAGGGGCGCCGCTCTCTATGGCGGCCTCGCTCCCTCCCCCTCCCCACGAACTGCGCACGGGCTCCCCCTGTCGGCCGCCGCGCCACATTCACCGCGCGGAGGGAAAGCGGGAGGAGAAGGGCGAGCGGGCTCCCCCTGAGGGGCGCGCGGCATTTCCCCCCGAGAAGAGGCGAGCGAGAGCGGCGCTTGCCTGCGAGGGGGCGACGACGAGCGTTGCTCTCCTCCTTCGCTTCACTGCTGGAGAGGTAGCGGCGGCGAGCAGCAGCGGTAGCAGCAGCAGCAATAGAGACGGACAGCAGGTTGCAGCCGGGAGCCGACGCCTCGCCCGCGCTGGGGACTCAGGCAGGCGGACTCTCATGCGGCGGCGGCGGCAGCAGCAGCTCTTCGCCGGCCGCTCCAAACTCCGTGCCTGCGCGGCGGCGGCGGCAAGCGCTAGCTCCGGCTCCGTCCTCCTTCCTCTTCCCGCCTTGGCGACCCGCGCGGGAGCCGCCGCCCCGTCTCTCCAGCCCGCCAGCCCGGGGCGGCTGCACCTTCCTTGAAGCCTGGGAGCCCCCACTCCCCCGCTGCTCTTCCCTATGGGGATTCGGGAGTTCCCCAACGGCACGGCCAGGGGCAAGACCGTCGCCATGTGAGTGGGGGGCGAGGGGGGCGCCGGGGGGCTGGGCGTGGGGGGCGTCGCGCGCAGCAAAGGTTCCCTCACGCAGCCATTCCCCTTCTCCAGGGGGGCGCCGACCCACCGCCGACCCCGTGAGGGAGGACGAGGGACACCGGGAGCAAAGTTTTCCGCCTCTCCTCCTGCTTGCTGCTCACTTTCTCCCGGCCGCGCTCTTCTTTTCTGCTCCTCGCTGGGTCTGAGAAGCGGAGGAAGCGGCGTGTTTGTGTGGAGAAGGGAGGTGGTGGTTTTGGCGCGGAAAGGCGGAAAGTTCGCCCGGAGCCTTTCCTGGCCAGCTCGGCGGGGAGCGGAGGAGGAAGGCGCGCTCCCTCGCGGCAGCTTCGAGCCCCTCGGGGTGCGCGGAGAGCGGCGTCGCGCTGGGCTCCGTCCGGGCCGACTCGCAGGAGGAGGGGCTTGGCGCCTATTGACAGAAGACCAAAGTAGACCACGTTTTCTGAGCGGGGAAAAAACCCCTCTACAAATCGTTGTACTGGGCGAAATGGTAGTGGAACTCGGCTAAGGGGAGGTTTGCGCTTTGTGCCCAGTGCCCTCAGCGGGGAAGGACCGCAGCCTTGGCATGCAGAAGGTCCCGGGTTTAATCCCTATCATCTCCAGGTAGGGGTAGCAAGGACGCCTGCTTGAAGCCTTGGAGAGTCGCTGCCAGTCCGTGTAGGCAATACTGAGCTAGGTGGACTGGTGGTGGGGCTTGACATAAGGCATTGCAGGGGGTTGGACTAGATGACCCTTGGGGGTCCCTTCCAACTCTACAATTCTGGGATTCTAAGGCAGCTGCCTCTATTCCTCTTTGTTGCATTCTTAACACCTTGTTCCTGAGAGGGTTTGCATTTATTACATTCGCCTTTGCCTTACCTTCTCCTCACCCACCTCTCTTGTCTCTGCCTCTAGTGGCATGAGGAGATCTCCAGACGTCAGCCCCAGGAGGCTGTCAGACATCAGCCCTCAACTCCGGCAGCTGAAATACCTAGTGGTGGATGAGGCGATCAAAGAGGATTTGAAATGGTCCCGATCTGTGGAAGACCTCACCAGTGCGACCGTGGGGCTCACCTCCATTGAGGAAAGGATTCTACGGATTACTGGCTACTACGGCTATCAGCCCTGGGCTGCCAGCTACAAAAGTAAGTCCCTTGTTTATCCCTGCCTGCTTCACAGCAGCAGTCACCATTCTCTCTATATTACACACACACACATACACAGTCCTCAACTTTCTGTCACAAGGAACCTTCTCAAACTGCCTGGGGAGGATTCAGGTTGTACTCTGGAATTAACCCCTTGATTCCTTTTCTAGGAATCAGTGGGTTTTTGTATCTTGTATTATCAAAGTAGATGAGAGATGGCCTTTGCTGTTTGGCTAGTTTATTGCTCCTTCTTTTCCACAGCTGTCTTAGAATAATAGAATTGTCGAGTTGGAAGGGACCCCAAGGGTCGTCTATTTCAACTCTCTGCAATCCTGCCCACAGCCGTTCTTGGGTGGGCTCGAACCACCAACCTTTCGGTTAACAGCCATGTGCACTGACCCATTGCGCGCTTGTGTATATGCCATGCATTTTATATTTTTGTGTCAGTATAGCAAGACTGATAACAGATGGATGGATGGGGGTGAACTTGCCCTCTTTCTGTGTGTGTGTTGTTTCAAAAGGATGTGGGGACATGAGGAGTTAAATGCAGATCAACTGAACTTTCTGGTTGTCTGAGGGGGGGCACTGTGGAGATTATTATATAAAACATATAATTCTTCAGATTTAGGAAAGGATTTCAGCTTAGTGCTCAAGCTTGGATCAAATGTGAATTTTATAAAAGGTCACTGTGGCATAAAGGGCTTCTTTACGAATAAAAATTGTTAGATTAAATGGCGAAAGAAGCTTTTGTCTTCAATACAAGGAATTGATCAGGAAAATGTCATACAGCTGGATGATTTAATGAATTGCTTTCAACTTCAAAACAGATTTGCACATATTGTATTATTATGAGTTCGGGGTGCTAGACTTCCCTAAAATCATGAATCAAGCAATGATTAAAATATAAGTCAGGCCAGCTTCCTTAGGAGAGACGGGCCATTAAAGGAGAGCAAAGAAAATGGGCTGTTTACAAAGTAAAGACTCTGTGTCAGACTCTCCCCCTCCCTAAGCTCTGAGATAATTAGCAGAGACAAAGCAGAGTGGAGAGTTTAGGATTGCATTTGGTGGTGATGTAACCTAGGAGGAAAATGGTTGCAGGCTGTGAAAGGCAGCAAGCTAGAGCAGAAGTTCAGAGAGCCATGGCTGATTTCTGTTTGGATCCAAGGCTGCAACCATGAGAAATACAAGACCTTTTTGGTGTGTTAATGCTGTGAACCCCTCAGTTGTAGGCTCAGGTGGTATATATGTGTAACTAAACCATATATCATAAAGACACCACAGTCTCCGCTGTGCCACATTTCCAAAAGGAAACACAGACCCTGGGTAGGTGCCTGGACCCCTGGAATCTCTCACTGCTCTGAGATTGGGGTGGCTTGTAGCAGTCTTAATCAAAGCAAAGTGGACTTTCATGCCAGAATCCTAACTTCACTTACCTGGGAGTAAACACCATTGAAGTTACTCCTGAATAGACATGGTTAGGATGCAGCCATAATGCTACTTACTGTATTGGCTTGAATATAAGCCACACCCGAATATAAGCCACACCTTTAAAATTGGAGGGGGAGGGAAGAAAAAAATCTGGAGTATAAGCCACTCCACTCCTCACTGCTCCTGGCTGCATACTGGGTGCTGGGGGGGGGGCACGCTGCATTGCCAGTGGCCTTTCCCCTTCCTCGCTCTCTCCCTTCCTGACCTTGGGGGAGAGGATGGGGAACTATGTGCTGGGCGGACACCGCTTTGCTGCACTCCTGGCGCTGTTTGTCCTGTGCTCCTGGCTGCATACCAGTGCCACGAATACATGCCACACTTTAACTTTTCACGGTCGGAATTTGAGAAAAAACTGAGGCTTATATTCAGGCCAATACAGTATGTTAATTTTGGTGCTAAGATATAGTTCTTTATTTCTTAATACCATTAATGTAATATAGTGATTAGTTTACTTGTGATGGATGCTTTTGGTCAGTTAAATCTGTACTTGTGAGAATATATTAAATAATATACTGTACTGAACCCAGCCAGATGGGTGGGGAATAAATAATAAATTCTTATAATAACAAATTCTTATAGGATTCCTTTAACAACAACCACCACTAGTTAATGCTGGTGTTCCTACCAGGTTGCAGTCCTATGCCCCATTGAATTTAATGGGACTTCTGAGAAGAGTTGTATTGGATTGTGCTATAAATGTGTACAATAATCAATACAATGTATTACACTACACTGATCATGATTCATGTTTTCATATTTCCAAAGTCTGACAAAATATTTCTCTAATATCTCAGGGCACTGATGGTTGTTACAGTGTGCCCATTTTGTGTGTTTATCATACAAAAAGACAGGAAGGTTCCCCCTCCTGCTCCATTTTACGAATCATCTGTAAGGGGTGACAAATTCCATGTTAAGAATTTTATGCATTTGCATGGTGACATCACAGTACATCACAATAACATGCCTCCTGAGTTGTCCAGGAAGAAACATATTCATTCTTCTCATTTTCCTTTCTCCAAACATGTTGGTTCAGAAGACGCCATGTTACCAGGAGGTAAGTCTGGAATTTCTGCATTCAGTAATGGTGCAGCTTGGTTGTTCAAGAGCCCATCCTCTCAGCTCTGAAATATGGAAACAGGGCTTTATTCAAATTAAATAACCACTCAATCCCTTGGAAAATGGCTTGTGGAGTGTTGCAAGTTTCTGTTTTGATATCTGCATGGAGTCAGTGGCTGAAACTGTTTAATGTTTTGGAGTTGGATGTCATTAACATGCTGATGATACCCAGCTCTGTTTTTCTATCAAGATCCAGGAGCTAAAGCTCTCCCGTGAGCCAGTGTCTGGCAACTGCAATGGACTAGATGAGGATGTATAGGTTGCAACTGAATGCAGATGAGGCATAAGTGATGACAGTTGGGGTCCTTGGAGAGAAAAAACCCAGTGATGGGATTTGCCTTCTTTTAATTGAGTAGTTGCGCATTATACGGGATCTTTTCAATCCTTTCTTAGTTTGGATTCTAAGAATTCTTGGTTACTGCTTCTACCTATCATTTTTACTGCGCCCTTTCCTGATGTACAGGGACCTGGCCAATATCTCACACACTATTTGTAATATGAATGGATCACTATAATGCGTCCTGTGGGGCTGACCTCTTGCTAATGGAGCACTTCACTTATTTGAGGGAGTAGGGCAATGGAAACAGATAAAATATGTGTAATTGCTGGACACTCCTGGCAAAGATAGGAGAGTCTGAAGCTAGCTAGTATGAGTTTAGAGCAGGGGACTGACCAGCAAGGAGTTTGTACCCACTTGAAAGCCATAGGTCAGAAAACAAAAGTAGTCAGAAACAAGACTTTCAGTACCTTGGACAGGTCTCAGGGAAGAAACTCAGGTGGAGACAACTTCTTCTTAGAAGGACTAGTTGCTGAGCTCATGTAGTTTTTCAGCTTGACTACCACCTCACCAGGCTCTGCCCCCTTACTGGAAAATGGAGATCTTTTAAGGAGCAAATCTCTGGCCTGGAGCCTGACATTTTGTTGTGTCTCCGTTGCCAAGCACATTGCCTGTGGTGGCGAACAGATGGCACCCAAGGCCTTTTGTGTGGGGGTGAGGAGCAAGGATTCTGGTTCTGTGATGGTTCCTGGACCCTGGACTATAGTCTCTGGGCATCCTGGCTGAAGGGTTTTAGGAATGGGTCAGCAAACATTTTCAGCAGGGGGCCGATCCACTGTCCCTCAGACCTTGTGGAGGGCCGGACTATATTTTTTTTGGGGGGGAATGCATCTCTGAACAAATTTCTATGCTCCACAAATAACCCAGAGATGCATTTTAAACAAAAGCACACATTCTATTCATGTAAAAACACCAGGCAGGCCCCACACATAACCCAGAGATGCATTTTAAATAAAAGGACACATTCTACTCATGTAAAAACATGCTGATTCCCGGACCATCCGCGGGGCAGATTTAGAAGGCGATTGGGCCAGATTTGGCCCCCGGGCCTTAGTTTGCCTACCCATGGTTTTAGGTTCAAAGTGTCAGATTCCTATGGTTGCTGGACTCAGCTTGAGTTTCAGTTCCCAAATCTGGTGTTTGTGTGGGTGATATTCCTGACTCATCTGATCTCTAGCCCTCAAGGTCAGTGCCCAAATCACTTTTGGTAATCTGGATCTTGACCATTGCAATGACACTGGGATATTTTTCTTTGAGCCATAATTAAAGGGGGGGTTCACCTTGGCCTCAGAAGACATATAAAACCTGTACCCTACTGGTTGACTATGATCTTCAAAAGAGGCTTCCCTTGCCGGGTTAATTTTCACTTTTTGAGAGGTGGTAGAATGAAAGTCCCCTTCATGGATCACTGCCTTGACGTGGCGAAGGGGCTTGAATAACTTGGAGAAGCTATGAGCTATGCCGTGCAGGGCCACCCAAGATGGACAGGTCATAGTGGAGAGTTTTGACCAAACGTGATCCACCTGGAGCAGGAACCGGCAAGCCACTCCAGTATCCCTGCCAAGAAAACTCCATGGACAAAGACAAAAGGCATATAAAAGTTATGACGCTGGAAGATGAGCCCCTCAGGTCGGAAGGCGTCCAACATGCTACTGAGGAAGAGCGGAGGACAAGTACAAGTAGATTCAGAGCTGATGAAGCGGCTGGGCCAAAGCCGAGAGGACGCTCAGTTGCGGATATGCCTGGAAGCGAAAGGAAAGTCCAATGCTGTAAAGAAAAATATTGCATAGGAACCTGGAATGTAAGAACCATGAACCTTAGTAAGTTGGATGTGATCAAAAATGAGATGGCAAGAATAAATATTGACATCCTGGGCATCAGTGAACTAAATTGGATGGGAATGGGCGAATTCAGTTCGGATGACCATCATATCTACTACTATGGGCAAGAATCCCATAAAAGAAATGGAGTGGCCCTCATAGTCAACAAAAGAGTGGCAAAAGCTGTATTGGGATGCAAGCTCAAAAATGATAGAATGATCTCGATACGAATCCAAGGCAGACCTTTTAACATCACAGTAATCCAAGTTTATGCACCAACCACTGGTGCTGAAGAAACTGAAATTGACCAATTCTATGAAGAGTTACAACACCTTATAGAATTGACACCAAAGAAGGATGTTCTTCTCATTATAGGGGATTGGAATGCTAAAGTAGGGAGTCAAGAGATAAAAGGAACAACTGGCAAGTTTGGCCTTGGAGTTCAAAACGAAGCAGGGCAAAGGCTAATAGAGTTCTGCCAAGAGAACAAGCTGGTAATCACAAACACTCTTTTCCAACAACACAAGAGACGACTCTACACATGGACATCACCAGATGGGCAGCATCGAAATCAGATTGATTATATTCTCTGCAGCCAAAGATGGAGAAGCTCTATACAGTCAGCAAAAACAAGACCTGGAGCGGACTG